ATGAGCCATCAAATACTAGTGTAAGAGCTGATGGTTAGAGATGGATCAAGATGTGCATTCTTAAAACATTGGTCTTATTGGAGAGTGCCAACTGGCACATTGCTCATGCCATCTATACACATGAACCTCTTTAAGAGAGTTCAGACAAAGTGATTTGCATGTGTGACCTTTTGCTTCAGAGTAACTACCAAACATAGATTGTTATGTGTGACCTGATCCCATCACCTTTGTTCTGCCAGCAAACAAAATTCATCCAGTAGGGTGTGTAGAGAGCTGATACAAGATTAATGCTAGCAAAACTCGGACTCAACAGCAGCCTCCTCAGCACAATTTGTTGTGTGCTAATTTGTTTCCCTTACCCATAATTATGACATCTGATCTCCTCAATCAATTTGCAAATGGGAAGTGCCTAGGTGCAGAGATAATGGGAGGACAAAATTTTGGCATCCCTGCCACCCAATTCGCAGAATGTTGAATCTTTCGGACAGTCCATTTCAGTGGGTGATGTTGCATCCAAACTTTTACTGTACAGGGCTGCAGAGGGTTTTATGTGCTGCACAATGCTGTGATATGGCTGCCTGTGGCCTGGTTTGTTCCTCACTGGTCAGCTGCCAGCTAACTTTCCCATGTCAGTCTGGGACTCATGCCAGTACCACTGGGTTATGGGTCCAGTATGTTTTCTCCAGACCACAGAGGTAGTGCAGTCAAGATGAAAACCCTATGGTGGTAGAGAAGGAATGAGCAGCATTAACATTTTTGTTTGTGCCAGGCAGTTGTCCTTTATTCTGTAATAGTCTGTAATAAAAGCCCCTTTTCATCAAGTGCTATGAAAGGATTGTGGTGTCTTTTAACTATGGGAAAACTATCAGCCATAGTGTAACAGTGAGGTCAGCTGTACAAAGTGTCACAACTTAACTCCTGCTGAGTCTGAGGAGAAACATATGCAAAGGTGTACAATATATTTCAAAATGATCACAAATTGTATATTACTTTTATATGTAAGAATAGATGCAAGTTATTCACACAGGAAATGCTGTGATACCATAAGCATGTATGCTGCATAACTCCCACCCCCTAACATTGGATGGTGAAACTCAGATAAGCTGAGAGCAATCACACTGTGAATGTGTTTGTTTTACATTGTACTCTAGGGCTGACACATAATTGGCAGATTTTGGGGGGAGGAGGTAGCTTCCCTCACTGTATGTAATCCACCACACCACCCCTGTCATCAGCGTATGTTGCGTAGCTGCCTCTCCGTCCCAAGCCGCGTCTTCAGCGTCACCGGTGCCCCCCCCCCCCCCCGCCCCGACGGGCCGCTACTCAGTTCGTCAAGCTATGGCGGTACAACGCTCTCTCGCACTGTCGCATGCGACCAGCACACACACAATATGTTGTGTCAGTCTGTGTCAGCACTTAGTTCAATTTAGTTCGGCGCCCCCGGCGACGGCGGCGACTCTAGCTCGATAGCTTACGCACGCTGGACGTGTCTCACGTGAACCGCAAGCGGTGCCGCCCCCGACACCTCCCATAGCTCGCTCGACATGGAAGGATGTGGTCCCATTCCACACGTGTTCTTTGTGGGAGTAAGAGTGACAGGTTTAGGTCACATCTTCCTCAGACCTCGCATGGCGAAGTATGGTCTCGCGCCAACTGCGATTGGTCGCGTCTGGTAGACGTGAGCGTGGATTAATGTTATATAGTACTCTGTTGACTTCTGTCTCAAATTCAAACAAGAGCAAGTGTGTTGCAAGCATCACCCCGTTGGTGACATTCGCGACATTTACTTTATTTCAAGCTGAGACCGAAGCTAAAGGTGTATCGTACGGCATTTTTTAAGATGTATGGACTCAGGGATGGTCTGATATCGATGAAGCATAGATTGCTTGGATTTTTAAGCGCTGCTGTATTCCCCAGGATTGCTCTTGGGGGCATTCCTAGCGAGCAGTTCCCGCTCCCTGCTAAAAAAGAACCAGGATTAATGCAAGGCTCATTTCGAACATCTGGATAACATTTTGTTCTTCAATTTTTCAGTATTTTTGTTCCAGTGTACCTCGTCATTTCTAGTTTCTGAACATTTCAAGCGACTGTGTGTGGAGAACACGAAAATAGTTCCTGTCTCTTAGGTGGTCTCTTGTATTAGGTGAGCGCTGACCGTTGTTACGATATTTGCAAATTATACAAGTACTTCAGATCCAGCCGTTCAACGCACTCCTTAAGATATTGTGTCTCGTCTTCGATATCCTTTAAGGCCAGATCGGCCAGCCTATGAGATTCGCATATGCTGTCTACCAGACCCTTGGGAAGATAGCGTTCTTGGATCTCTCGATATAGGCTCCGAAGTTCCTTCTTGCTTCTTGAGAATGTCCGTCTGGAGCTCTTGGATTTCAGCAACGTACTCAGAGGATGAACTGAATTTGACATCTGTTGGAATGATGACATCGGCGAGAACCTCTGGTTTTCGATACACTTTGGAAGCCTCTTCAATTTCGTCAGCGACTCTTTGTAGCTCACGTTTTGTTGCTTTATAGCGAAGTATCTCCTTCTCCAGCAGTGCTTCCTGGTTGCATATTTCACTTTTTTGCTGTTCAAGAGTGCCAGGCGTCATGTCCGACCGGTCTGATCCAACCTCTGAGCCAATGTGTAAACTTATGTCCGAACCAGCGTCTGAATCGCCGTTGAGTTTGGGTGAGACTTTGATGTCCTCAAAGAGCGCTTGCGCAAAATTATAGTATGCGTCATAGATTTGCTTCAAGTCGTTGCCATGATGGGAGTTAGTGTGCACCAAGTTATCCAAAAAGCGGAGGCCACATTCCAGTTTGTCTTCAAGCTCTTCAGCGCTTGTCTCAGTGCCAGAAGGCAACGGGAGGAGATGGGCAGGGAGGTTGATGAGGCGCATTATTTCGTCGTTGCACATGGGAATGCAGCCAGCAGACTTCTGCGGTGCGTCGTGACTTGTGGAAACCGGCTGTGGTGCTGGTTTGGACTCCATGCTGTTGCCAATGGATGAATCGAATTCTTTTGGCAATGAATGTGGGGGCTGTTTCGTTATTGGCTTGTCCGTCACATCCGGCCCTCGTTGGACGGGGGCGTCATCCTCATCTGAAGATTCCTCATCTGTACTTCTCTCCACCAAAAGCACGCCTTGCAACGTTTCTTGCAAATATTTGGCCCTCCATCTCGGGCTCCAATAAATCAAACGGCTCCGGAGGCTGCGGTGCCCTTATGATGGTGGCACTTCTCCAGATGGCATCGCTTGATGTTGGGAAAAAACTGTGACTCTGACATGGCCGATTACGGACTCTTCCGAATCAGACGACTCCAGACAGGGTGTGGATTGTTCGGTTGTCGGCAGACATGTCGATATCAATCGTTTCATTTGTCTGCGCTTCCCTCATGGTTGTTGCCTCAAAAGAAGTGCCTGACATTTTTAGCTTTGTTGCTGGTCGACGAAGTGGGGTATGTTGCTGCTCACAGTGTCAGCATTGTTTAGTTCACACAAGATCAGTGTCTTTATAGATATGCGGTACAATGTGTATAAAGGCGTGGATGCGGTGTTACTTGCTGGACATATCCAACGAGGATGCACGTCAGGAGAGCTTGGTCTGTTTAATACGGTTAATAACTACTGGTCACGTTTGCTCTGGATTGGCGTGACGCACGATTTCTTTTGGTTGGTTTGGGATTTTAATTTGGCATTAGAAAATTGTCATTATGATTGTTGCGAGCAGCTTTCATTTGGGAAGATAAACCGCTCAGCCGAGTTGAGTAAGGCCACGAAGAGTCGAGTATTGCGCGGAATGATGGCATTGTTTGGTTTTACGCTCGCTCGCCGTCAGAGTTCCGGTGTGGACAGGCAAAACACTTCATTTTGTCTGCATGTGCTCTGAAACGAAGTACGTTGTGCTTAAGTCTTCCCGTGTCCCTATTTCTTGTTCCGATTTTCATACTACGTTCACACTGGCAACCGTATGCACGGGGTGCTTGGAAAAGGGCGCTTGAAATTTATATTTTTGTCTCAACAAACAACATGTGACCATGTCGGTGCTTGATTGGAAAACGCTTCATAGTAGGTTGATAGCGCCTTGGACGAGGCGCTGGCAATATTTGAACGCGTGGAGAAAGATTCAGCCGTCGAAGCTTTTGCTTTAACGCTGTAATCGTATGCACTTCTTGTGATGTTCCATTTCCTATGGTAACGATGTTTTCCTGAATGTTCAAGCTCTGACCACATGAGACGTCTCAGGTATTCGTCTTGACACGTTCTCGCCCTCCTGTGACCATAGTGACCAATTCATCTCCTTTTGAGGAGTTGCTTCATGCATGACTAGAGTCTTGCAAGTGTATGTGCCATGAATATCACCTGGTCAAGGATATGGTTAGAAGTAATTCATGCTGCTCCAAGCTGGCTGATCAACGATGTGGCGGTTATCACCTGTAGTGAGCAAAACGGTAATGATCAAGACTTCAACCCGCTAGATATGTGTGCTGGGGTTCATAACCAGCAAAGAAGACATCAATGTTTTGGTTAATGGGAGGCTTTAGGTTTTTCAACGTCACCCCAGTCAAGTGCACAGGATTGGTGATCTAGGTGCATAGGGTCCGTTTAAGAAGCTCTTGTCTTTGAATTTGCATTTATTTCTTACATGTGGTTGGTTATTGGCTTTCAGAATAAACGCCCTCCAGCTAACTGAGGGCTCAATAATTTGCTATGTTACGAAACTTTATTAACATCCGCAGTGGGCATACCTCTATGCACTCGTACCACCCTCCTCTCAACTTGCAGTTCTTATCCGAGACCGTTTGTGTATCAGCCTACATTGGTATTTCCAGTCAAGTACACTTGTACTCAGTACAGTACAGTACAGTACGCTCGTACAGTCCGTGAGAGCCGACAGTCAACGACCTCCCTGACGCCTTTCTGGCCCAGCTGATATCTGGGAATTGCTGGTATCAGGGACGTCTCATGAAATGCCCACGTGTTTTCATGAAGCCATAGGATGTGTCAGTTTGCGTTCCTGTGAGCCTGAATGCTTCGAAAGCATTGTTTGACAAAACGCCACCGCCGTCTTAAGGCCTTCTTACGCGAAATATTATTGAATTTTAGAAGTGCCATTACTCAGCACTAATCTTTTCTATTTTAATTGCCTGAACGGTCCTCTTGACCATTTTTTGTTTCTGTTTTTTTTTGGGGGGGGGGGACGCATAGCATGCGTATAGCATTCCAGGTCTTTTATCGTCGTGATGCCTACTCCTCGCCGCGGTTACGAAGAACCTCTGGCTTGTTGGCTCTGCTCTGTTGGAGATCGCGTTCCAACGTGCGTGCTGACCCGTGAGACGTTCGTCAGATGCTCGATTAATCCTGGACGCTTGCCATGATTTTCAGGCGCTCGAGCTGCAGTCGTATCTTCAGTCGAAGGGAGCTGACATTCCCGCGCCATCGTCCGAGGACCTTCACGAGGACCTTAGGTCGCATCATTGAGGCTTGCGATGTGTGCTTCGCTTCCTCGGCCCCTGCCGACGTGGAGGCTGTTTTGAACAGCATCGTCTCCATGATCATTCTGGTAAGTGCCTTAGTGTCCGATCGCATCTCTCGGACGACAAGCTTGGGCGCTAACCTGTTCGGAAAGCCTGGGGGAACGATTTTTCCATGTTCGACTCGGGTCATTTTTTCGTGCAGACATTAATTTTTTAAAACAATTTTGAACTTTTTGGTTATTAAAGGCTGCGCTAATTCTCGTCATGGGTGCAAAATGATCCAACGTCGACGCGCCCGCAAACTTCAGTCATCACCAGTGTCCCATCTGCATAACTATATGTCTGTCGTTGTGCCGTTAATCTGGGCACCCGTCGTGGAACGTCCTTTTTGGTCCTGACGTTATTGTGGGTACTTCATTGCATTATATAGTACAATTGTCAAGTGATGTGTAAACTGGGTGGTGGGAAAGTGGCAGCAGAGCAAGATGGTGGGCACGCTGCACATTGGGGCGCTAGGGAATCATTTCAGTAGTATGTTTCCTGTTTGTCATCGACTTTTGTCTCGAAAATGTCTCTTACTGGCCTTGAACTAAAAGATGAATTATGACATTGCCACGTTTTCGCCCCATACCAGGCAAAGTGGCATCATGAAAGAGACGTGTGTAGTTGATGTGCCTATTTACGTTTATTGATGCGCGCGTATGGAGTGACTCACATGATGAGATATTACTTCCCTTTATTCCTCCCGTTTGGTTGATACAGACTGACGGAAAGCCATCTGCTTATCGAAGTGAACTAAACAAATTTTTGCTTTTTTGTTGTTTTGGAACGCATGCATGCATAGGCAGAACGCTGTGTTTATGCTTCTTTTTTGATTGCAGGAAACCGTCAAAGACAACAACAAACTCATAGTCCAATTCTGCGCAAAACTATCAGCGGCAACTACCTGCCAAGAAGTTTGCCTCAAGGTCACTAATCTCCTGTTCAACAGCCTCAAACCATCGTCACCAGTGAAGTATGATGTTTACTACAGCCTTGTCTCCCTGGCTGGCAAAGTGGACCAGGTCAGTATTGCTGTGGACGAAACTCAGTTAGATTCCCTCTTAATTTTTTTGGCGAACAACTCACGGTGTGGTGCGGGGTGTGCGAATGCGTCGGGGCTGATCTTGCTCTGGGCTTCATTTGACTTTACTGGAACATTTTCAGGCATCTATCAGCCTCTCTGCAAGTATTATTTTGCATGGCGTGTGTATATTTTTTGCCTAAACCTCTGATTTCCGTGCCATGAGCTCGGCGAGGTGCATCTCCTGGAACCAGTATAGATTGAAATCGTGTGGTGATGTGAACCGTTGTCCTCAGATCGACATCTTGTGGTGATCGTGTGGTGAGGGTGTTGTAACCGTTCCCCCGCGTCCCTCAGATCGACAGTGTGTTCTCATCCATCCCGGAAATGGAGGTTGAAACATCGTGTGGTGAGGGTGTTGTAACCGTTCCCCCGCGTCCCTCAGATCGACAGTGTGTTCTCATCCATCCCGGAAATGGAGGTTGAAACATCGTGTGGTGAGGGGTTGTAACCGTTCCCCCGCGTCCTCAGATCGACAGTGTGTTCTCATCCATCCCGGAAATGGGGTTGAACATCGTGTGGTGAGGGTGTTGTTTAACGTTCCCCCGCGTCCCTCAGATCGACAGTGTGTTCTCATCCATCCCGGAAATGGAGGTTTTGAAACATCGTGTGGTGAGGGGTGTTGTAACCGTTCCCCACGCGTCCCTCAGATCGACAGTGTGTTCTCATCCATCCCGGAAATGGAGGTTGAAAACATCGTGTGGTGAGGGTGTTGTAACCGTTCCCCCCGCGTCCCTCAGATCGACAGTGTGTTCTCATCCATCCCGGAAATGGACGGTTGAAACATCGTGTGGTGAGGGTGTTGTAACCGTTCCCCCGCGTCCCTCAGATCGACCAGTCTGTGTTCTCATCCATCCCGGAAATGGAGGTTGAAACATCGTGTGGTGAGGGTGTTGTAACCGTTCCCACGCGTCCCTCAGATCGACAGTGTGTTCTCATCCTCCGGAAATGGAGGTTGAAACATCGTGTGGTGAGGGTGTTGTAACCGTTCCCCCGCGTCCCTCAGATCGACAGTGTGTTCTCATCCATCCGGAAATGGAGGTTGAAACATCGTGTGGTGAGGGTGTTGTAACCGTTCCCCCCGCGTCCCTCAGATCGACGTGTGTTCTCATCCATTCCCGGAAATGGAGGTTGAAACATCGTGTGGTGAGGGTGTTGTAACCGTTCCCCCGCGTCCCTCAGATCGACAGTGTGTTCTCATCCATCCCGGAACATGGAGGTTGAAAATGTTGTGGTGAGGGTGTTGTAACCCGTTCCCCCGCCGCTCCCTCAGATCGACAGTGTGTTTCTCATCCATCCCGGAAATGGAGGTTGATGACACACATTGCGTTTGTGGTGAGGGTTGTTGTAACCGTTCCCCCGCCGTCCCTTCAGATTCGACCGTGTGTTCTCATCCATCCCGGAAATGGAGGTTGAAACATCGTGTTGGTCAGAGGGTTGTTGTTAACCGTTCCCACGCGTCCCTTCAGATCGAACAGTGTGTTCTCATCTCATCCCAGGAAATGGAGGTTTGAAACCATCGTGTGGTGAGGTGTTGTAACCGTTTCCCCCCGCGTCCCTTTCAGATTCGGACAGTGGTTCTCATCCATCCCGGAAATGGAGGTTGAAACATCGTGTGGTGAGGGTGTTGTAACCGTTCCCCCGCGTCCCTCAGATCGACAGTGTTCCATCCATCCGGAAATGGAGTTGAAAACATTTGTGGTGAGGGTGTTGTAACCGTTCCCCCGCGTCCCTCAGATCGACAGTGTGTTCTTCATCCATCCCGGAAATGGAGGTTGAAAATCGTGTGGTGAGGGTGTTGTAACCGTTCCCCCGCGTCCCTCAGATCGACAGTTGTGTTCTCATCCATCCCGGAAATGGAGGTTGAAACATCGTGTGGTGAGGGTGTTGTAACCGTTCCCCCCGCGTCCCTCAGATCGACAGTGTGTTCTCATCCATCCGGAAATGGAGGTTGAAAACATCGTGTGGTGAGGGTGTTGTAAACCGTTCCACCAGCGTCCCTCAGATCGACAGTGTGTTCTCATCCATCCCGGAAATGGAGGTGTGAAACATCGTTTGGTGAGGGTTGTTGTAACCGTTCCCCCGCGTCCCTCAGATCGACAGTGTGTTCTCCTCCATCCCGGAAATGGAGGTTGACAACATCGTGTGGTGAGGGTGTTGTAACCGTTCCCCCGCGTCCCTCAGATCGACAGTGTGTTCTCCTCCATCCCGGAAATGGAGGTTGAAACATCGTGTGGTGAGGGTGTTGTAACCGTTCCCCCGCGTCCCTCAGATCGACAGTGTGTTCTCCTCCATCCCGGAAATGGAGGTTGAAACATCGTGTGGTGAGGGTGTTGTAACCGTTCCCCCGCGTCCCTCAGATCGACAGTGTGTTCTCCTCCATCCCGGAAATGGAGGTTGAAACATCGTGTGGTGAGGGTGTTGTAACCGTTCCCCCGCGTCCCTCAGATCGACAGTGTGTTCTCCTCCATCCCGGAAATGGAGGTTGAAACATCGTGTGGTGAGGGTGTTGTAACCGTTCCCCCGCGTCCCTCAGATCGACAGTGTGTTCTCCTCCATCCCGGAAATGGAGGTTGAAGAACATCGTGTGGTGAGGGTGTTGTAACCGTTCCCCCCGCGTCCCTCAGATCGACAGTGTGTTTCTCATCCATCCCGGAAATGGAGGTTGAAAACAATCGTGTGGTGAGGGTGTTGTAACCGTTCCCCCGCGTCCCTCAGATCGACAGTGTGTTCTCATCCATCCCGGAATGGAGGTTGAAACATCGTGTGGTGAGGGTGTTGTACGCGTTCCCCCGCGTCCCTCAGATCGACAGTTGTGTTCTCATCCATCCCGGAAATGGATGGTTGAAACATCGTGTGGTGAGGGTGTTGTAACCGTTTCCCCTCCGCGTCCCTCAGATCGACAGTGTGTTCTCATCCATCCGGAAATGGAGGCCGCCCTGGGCTCTGACCTGACGGTGGCGCAGAAGCAGAAGCTGCTGCGTCTCATCTACCGGGAGCTGCTGAACAACAAGCACAGGTGGGCCCGGCATCGGTCAGCGGTAGAGGAGTCGGCCCTCTTAACCGAACACCTAGGCCGAGTGGTATACCGAAAAATCAGGTCCTAAAAGAGGTTTTCCCCGACAGTTCACTAGATTTCGTATAACTCGGCACCTAGGAAGATGTGCTGAGTCGCGTGCCAAAAATTTCCCCGCAACTGAGTACCCAGGGGGGAGGGCTCCGAGCCTGACCATGCATCTACCCTGCATTCTGCGCTGTTCTCGGCACTGCAATGTCCCGTGCTGCTCACCTGGCCGAGTCGGTCACTGCCAGCGCTGCGTCGTGTGGGCTAGACGGCCGCTGACCGCCGCTCGCCCGCCCCGCCCCTGACCGCCGGCCGGCTGCCGCAGCGAGGCGGCCTCCGTGGTGATGATCGACCTGCTGCGCACCTACTCGGAGGAGACGGCGTCGGAGGCGCGCGAGGAGGCGCAGCGCTGCGTGCTGGCCGCGCTCGCCGACCCCGACACGTACCTGCTCGACCACCTGCTGAGCCTGAAGCCGGTGCAGTCGCTGGAGGGCAGTCCCGTTTACCAGCTGCTGACCATCTTCATCAGCGAGGGGCTGGCCCAGTACCAGCAGTTCTACGCCCAGCACAAGGACCTGGTGGAGAGCTGGGGTGAGTGACGCGCGCAGGACTACGCGGCAGCGGAAATTTGTGTTGCGTGGTGTTGCGTAGTGAGCGCTACCCAGTGCTTTGCATGTGTCCTGGTGGTGGTGGTGGAAAAAAACAGTGTAGTGTTCACGTGCAGGCTGCGGAGGGCCCTGACCCGGTGCATTATTCAACTGCTGCGATTTCCAGTCTAGTACTCTTGGAATCTAAATGTGGACACTACTGCTTTTTACACAAATCGCGAGCATCCACTTTGCTGCTTGCATGAATTTCAGAGTTGAGTTTTCGTCTTTTTTACTGCAAATCAAAAGTTGTAAATGCATGTTTGTGAAGGTAAAGTTGATTGTTACCGGCCCCTTGAGCAAGTCTTATGTCATGGATGTGCCCCCAGGACTCAACCACGCCAACACGAGACCAAGATGCGGCAGCTGACGTTCATGCAGCTGGCTCAGGCACACCCGGACATGCCGTTCGACATGATCGAGAAGGAGCTGCAGGTGCCCGAGAAAGGCGTGGAGGAGTTCGTTATCGAAGGTGAGGCATGATACCTGGCTGGCAGCACCTGGGCATTGAGCCTACCATAAAATGAATATAATTGAAGTTTTTGCTGAAACTAACAAGAGGGATTCCAAGATTTAGCCTATGGCTTTCCCCCGGGTTGTCTGGAATGTAGCCGCCGGTATGGAGTGTCTTACGCGGTGACGCTACGGACGAAAATATTTGTCGTATGAAAGCGCCTCTACTTCTACAAGTGGGTACTCGCTGCTTATCTTCCTGTTATTTTTCCAGTGCCATCGTTATATTGATGTGCTATTCGCTGTAACTGTCGTGCCCATGTTGCCCAGCAACGCGAGGCTTCCACTCTGGCATATTGTGTGCTGGCACCATGCCCAGCGAGCGCTCTCTGTGATGTCCACTGTGCGCTCGTGTTTTTCCTGTCGTAGCCCGCAGGCGTTCTTCCCGTTGTTTTCACGGACATTGTTGCCGTCGTTTCCTGTGGCGCTGTTTGCTTGGCGCGCTGGCGCCGTTTTCTCCGCCCTCGACGCTGTCGCGCCGCGGACGTCGGCTGCCCCTCACCCCCCCCCCCCCCCCCCCTCCCCGGCTGACCGGCGGCTCCCGCTGTCGCCAGTGCTGCGGACGCGGCTGGTGCGCGGCCGCATGGACCAGGCGGCGCGCAAGGTGCACATCTCGTCCACCATGCACCGCACGTTCGCGCGGCCCCAGTGGCAGCAGCTGCGCGACGTCCTCACCGCCTGGAAGGCCAACGTGTCGGCCACCTGCGAGAGCATGCAGTCGGTGGTGGATGGCGCAGATGGAGATGATGGGCCAGCTCTCCAACGCCTAGGGCGCGCGCGCGCGCGGGACGTGACGCGCCCCAATACACAGGCGTCAGCGGTGGTGGCGTGTTTTCGGGCCAGGCGGCGGAGCTGGAGCTGGAGCTGGAGCTGGAGTTGCTGCGGCAGTGACCGCTGAAGGGTTCGGATGTTTGCCGTCTGCTGGGCACGCCACGACAAACCGCCGGCAACCGCTTGCTTTGGAACGGGAAATATACTTGCTGTTTTGGTTCCTTTTTGTAGAGGCGTTCGGGTTTACAATGTTGTTCACGTGTTTGCTGGTCTCGGAGCTGCTGCACGCGATTGCGTCAACTACTACACCTATACTCACTGCTCCCGGCATGTATGCGCATTGAAATGTCGCTGTCTCGACGCTGGCGTTGGCGGGTATTCGCCGCTTGATACCTTGGGCAACCCCGAGCGCGGAGCGGCCATACTGTGGGCTGCCAGAAGGAAGAACCACTAGCAAACAAATACCGAGTAATGGGCATTTGGCGTTGTCACGTCTGCTCTGGAAGTTGTGAGCGGTGTACTCTTACAAACTGCAAACAACGGACGTCAGTGGATTCTTCAGGGACGTCCGTCGGAACCCTGCAGCCGTTGGGCATACCGCAGGCACGTGTTGAGCATGTTAAGGAGCTGTGTAGATTGTGGGGAAAAAGTTCACCAGCTGCTCATTCAAAACCGTATGTTGATGATGCTGGTCCGCCAAAACGGACAAACGCTTCAACATTATTTCTGTAATGTGCCGGCAGCTATGATTCCTAAAGCACATTTTCGACAACAATGTCAACAAGTGAGCATTCATAAGTGTTATGCTTCTGCTCATAACGCTTTGGATTTAAAACGGAAGAAGGTATCAATGTCGCATCTTTGTATAGAGTCGCTGATGATGCCCGGGTTGTGGGCGTAGTGGGGTCATAAGCGGGGGTTCGGGTAATTCCAGCGTCACCCGCTGACCGTGGTGACGCCAGTGCGTGGGGTGCGTGCCAAGGACATGGTATTGCATAGTATTGCAGAAAAGATTAAAAACGGAAATCAAACGGATCAGGAGGAGGAAAAATGTACGTGCACATCTCGAGAGCAATTTTCGGTGGACGGGTTGACCTCTGGTAGGAACGATATGATTCCTTATATTACACTGATATTTAGGGTAACAATGACCCATGTAAGTGTCATGACTTAAGACAACTTTTACACACGCCTGCGTGGTTGCAAACAACCTAAGAAATATGCAAAGGAACGCCTGACTTAATCATCCATGTCCTGCCCTGTAGACGTCGAGCTGTTCATAGCTAAACTAATTTAGCTCAACGTTTCCATGGCGTAATTCCTTACACAATAAGGGCGCACTGAGACGAATACTAACAAACATCTCCAACAACACTGACACGTAATCACCGTAGTCCGCGCTCACCTCGCTTAGATGCGGTGTTTCTAAGTGTTCATTGCGGCGGTGTATTATCTTAATTTTGCAACGTAGTTAGTGTATATTAGATTGTTTTTGACCTTTTAAATCTGTTTTGTGTTCGTTTAAATCTCAGAACGTCATCCGACCAGCTTGCGGGGTCGACCGAAGTCCTTATTTTCACAAAATATACTTGCTTCCCTGTGCAACCGGTTCCGGTAGCTGCGTGCAGATAGCCGTTAAAGGCAGCATACATTTCGTGCATAATGGCGCAAATAAAGAATCCACTGAAGGACAAGCTGAATGATGATGAGCTGGACTTAAGCATTAGCAATTATGCAGACAGAGACGTTCCTGTCAAGGACATTGTGAGTGTTTTTAAAGAAGTGACTTCTGAATATCCAGCCTTTGTTTGATGAATATTTTAATGCTGTTCAGGCTGAGATATATGTGTGTTATGTGTCATACACTCATGTGTATCCAGGCTTGGTTGTAACATTGTTGATTCATTTGCTTCTCAAAGCAAAGCCATGCCGGCTGTGCTGTCTTTTGTGTCTTCAGTACATAAAAAGCAATAACAAATATGCTCCTTCTGCTTGAACTGTGAGAAAGTAACAAGCCATGTCTTTTGTGTTTCAACAGGCACTTCTGAAGAGGGCAACAAAATTGGATTTGTCCAACAACAAGCTCACCGGATTGCCTGTAAGCATGGCTGTTTGGAAATCAAGCATGCTACCATGCATCAAAGATTAATAATTGTGTATTTGCTCTCATGTGGCTTCTACACAAATATAGTTGGTATTCTAGCATATGTCATCTTTCTTCGTGTCTCCTAATCTCCAGTGGCAGAAATTATGGTAGCTGCACCACAACCCAGCAACAAGGGATATAATGTGGGAATGTAATCTTGACTCCTGTATGTTGACTCTATGTATGTTGGCCATGTGGTTGTGATGTATTACTCTGTTAATGTTACTTAATTGGCCATCATACTTGGGCATAAAATGACCTTAGAAGTTGACACGCCCCAAAACCTCAATCATCATCATCAATGGGCCATCACACACATTCCGCAGCATGGTCGGCTACTGCCAGCTGGCCATAGATTACTGTGCAGGTTTCCTCAAAAACTGCCACTTCACTGAACCACAACTGCTAGGGACTTGTTTTTATGATGAAGCATGCTTGATGGACTTCCTATAAGCCCATGAGAATTTGAGTGTAGTTGCATAACATGTTAGAGAGGTGTTGTCAAAAAACTTCAGGGGGGTTGCGTCAACCCCATTCCCTATCAGGGTGAGTGGTAAGTAAGGCCTGTTTGACCCATTTTAGCTTAACATTGGCCAGGCTGGACCCCATATAAGAAGGGCCCTTTAAGCAGTGTTAGTTGCCCTTAGTGTGTAACCATTTGTGATTTTTGGGATGATGTTGCTAAGAAAGGCTGAATTGTTGACACTTATTTCAGTATTGTTCAGAAGTAACCCATTATTTGTCAGTTGCCTACTGCATACCAGCCAGAAGCTGGCAGTCAGTTTGTAGATTCACTACCATGGTCGCAAATCACCGCCCTCACAGATGTTTCTGTTGTTGAAGGTGTTGATGGTTGGTGCAGTCACCAATTTAGCATATTTGGTGCAAAAAAGTGGTCCTGCAGGCATTTATATAGATGTGCCGGTAGTGAAGTGGTCAACCTGTGCGTCCAAGAACTCAGAATTACCGTGTTCGGACGCCCGCGGTGCCCGCCCGGCGAGAGGCAGGCGATGCCATGTAGCCCCAGCAACCGAGCGTGTCGTAACGCCCCAGTGACAACGAGGGCACTTGGGTGCATAAATATTACCAAGATTGTACAATATATCCCCTGATATCTTCTGATATCACATCACCATGGAAGATTTCCTGGATCAAATGGTCAAAAAATTAGATTTTGTGATTTGCTCACAACCAAAATGTCATCTCCGTTCAAATACGATATTTCCTTTCGACCGCTAGTGTCTGGGCATATCAGCTGTTGTTAACATGCATGTTAGCAAGGAAATGTGATATCATATTAGGTTAACTCATGTCCATAGATAAGCGTGGGGCCTTATTTGTGCAATACCCTGATTCTACTGATTCCAGAGTGCCTTATGTTCTTGATTTTTGAGGACATGGGATGCATTTTTATTGGGTAAAATATTCATTGCTGCTTTTTTACTGTGAGTCTGTATTATTCACACTTTTGACATGTTTGCAGAAGTCATTTGGGTCATTGACTCATCTGGTGAAGCTGGATCTGAGCTGCAACCTCATCACAGAGCTGCCATCCAGTTTTGGGGAACTTCATCGCCTCAGACACCTGGATCTATACAATAATAAGGTACAGTGAGAAAAATCGCTCTGCCTGTTGTGGGGATTGTGGATATAGATGGATTTTTATTAGTTGTGTTGAATGTTGGTTTAGTTAAAAAAGTATCGTTGGATCATTGGTGTTGGCTGTTGTGATTTTGAGGACATGTACGTTATCAAGGAAATATGACTTTGGTTTTCAGGTGACCATAAGATGTTTGTACCACATAGCCTATACCTACATCAGGTGTTTGTAGCAGATGTACCACTGCCACTACATGGAGGTTTTCTTCTAATTGTGATGTCTCCAGGCAAAATTGTGTGTTCCCGATGCTTCCCTGGACTGAAATCGTGACACCTAACACCCCACTGGGCTGTGTCACAGCGCACAGGTGCGAATCACTTGGGTCATTGATCAAATGGGTGCAACATGACTTCAGCAATCGACTCAGCTGTTCACCCCAAGTTATGTTCATTGGCGTTACCTTCATGTCAGAAGCCTCAACTGATGCGCATAATTGCAGTTGTCCCACCTGCCGCCGAGCTTCCACCAGCTGACCTCGCTGCGATGGCTGGATCTGAAGAACAACCAGCTGAGCCCGCAGCTGGCGCAGGCCGCCGGCGAGTGTCTCAACCCCAAAGAGTGCGAGCAGTGCGCACGGCGCGTCGTCCAGTTCATGGGACGCGTCAAAGAGCACTACGAACAGGAACGGCTGCGGCCGTCAACAGCTCGAGAAAGGTAACCAGCGCACCGCCGCGCCATCGGCGCGTCACACACCCATTTGTCTGTCTGTTACGACTCGCCTTTCCTTCGTATTGAGGGTGTGCCGTCTTGATGTTTATCGTAGACCACATGCTATTGTATGGTGGCATGCGCGCTTGTATGTAGTAATGACGGCGGAAATAGCATGCACAAGCAGATCCACTGCCGTTTCTGCACCAGCAGAATACCGCATGACTTAACGTGTTTGATGGCCGAGAAGTAAGCGTAAGGGTGCCGTTCTGTTAAATGAGCATTAGTGATACGTGTGTTCGGTGATGAGGTCGCGTTCACTCTCAGCTGTGTGGCGACACGGTCGAGTAGTCACCGGCGATCATTGCCTTTTCATGTTTATTACATGCATACGTTCCTGTTTTTAATTGCAATGACGCATGCATTTGGTATGCACGCAACTGAATTACTGCTAAAGAAGTTTAGCACGTGAACGAAGCATTTCAGCTCTCCTCGTCAAGGGGTTCGAAGCCTCGAGATACCAAGCGGCGAAAAGGCGTGCCATTTGTGCGAGTACCACTTGCTAAAGTCAATCGAGCTCAAAGGTGCGTCACGTCAGATCCTGAAATCGTCGCGAAATTTAGTCGTGGATCGGCACAGGAGCTGATAGACAGTTACTTTGAAAGTAGCTGTTAGGGGTATACGAGGCGGTTCGATAGTCACTTGATACGATCCTGTATTAACCTACCTCTCCAGGAGGCGCAGGCGGGGTCAGGTATGAAATTGCCGCCAGCGTTTTCCCTAATGTGCGATTTCATGTCATAAATTGTAGATCAATGCACTTTGAGGACGTGTCGTGTACTGCGCCATTCGCACGTTGACGACGGGCTTGAGGGGTCGGCAATTTGTTTGTGTTCTAAAAAGATAAACAGTTCGTCTAGAGAATTTGTGCGGTATGCAGTGTCAGCTCTGTATCAATATGACAATTTGACCGTCAATCTTCAGTAGACAGTAACCCAAAAGAAAAACTCTGTAACAGGTGCCTAGGTGAGTTGTGAGTTTAAACTGAAAGTTTATGTGCTATCTATATTTTGATCCTCAGTGGAGCAAGGACTGAAGCAAACATTTTAGCGCCTAATTACGAGCACGCCTTACTATGCCGCTGCTCTCAGAAAGTCTGTTGACAGTCTTGTCGGGGTGCACCTGGGCTGGATCGATCGCAACTTATGAATTACCATGCGCAGAGTCCAGTCTTTGATTTGGGCAGCACTGTGTGCAAGTTTAAATCGAATCCATTGCAGTACATTCCAACAGTAGCTGCTTAGAAGTTAGCACGACCTTTGTGCTGCATACATCCATATGATATATATGATAAGATGATCGTGGTATCAGGGTTTCACAGTTGCATTATATGTAGTTTCATTTCCTGCATGTTTGTCGCATGCACAGCTGTGGTGTCAGAATGAAATCATACATCTCAGACACATGCATCTTTGCCGAAGGCAATGGTATTTTCCACTGACGTTTGTTGCACATTCCGGAATTGGATGCTCCGCTCCCATTGTACTCCACTAAAATATGGTTGAAACCAGCACTTCATGATAGTTGTCTCATAGTTGTCTGTAATTTGTTACCAGGATGCATTGTTTAAGTTAGCAATGACAAGAAGTCTTTAGGCTGATGTATTTGTAAGTGTTGTTTGTGAGGGTACTTATGCATACAGAAAATACATCACGGTGCCTAAAGTTTGAAACATCTCAGTACATTCTCCTATCACATGCAGACGCTGCTGATGTACATTTTACCGTTGGTGAATGCAGAGCTTATGGATGCAAAACTGGCGGCCGAGGAGGTGGAGAAGGAGAGGCTAAGATTGGAGAAGAAGGCTAAGAAGGAGAAAAGGAAGCAAGAGTTGAGAGATCAGAAGAAGATAGAAGAGCTGCAGGCAATCCATCCAGATGCTGAGCAGCTGAAGAGTGCATCACCGGTCAAGTCAGCTTACAAGTCCAGCAAGGTGGAGAGTGGTAAGTTTCTGACCGGCTTGTGTACCATTGTGTTATAGGCTTAAGAATCGGGGGACACGAGGGAACAATGATCCCTCCGCTTTTTGAGACTGTGTATCTGTAACCCTATAACGATGCGTGGAGAGGGGTGACCTCAAGATTGTCACTTCCTCTCGCCTCCATACACACTTTCTGGGATGTTCCTATGCCTCTGAATAAGAGTTAATCCCAAATCAATCTAGCACTGTTTGGTCTCAGTGGACGGTCTTGTAATTTCTTTTTTGAAAATGTTCGTTGTTTTCATTTCACGTCTATGAAATCGAAACGTCCTTAATGGTGAAATTGGTAACGCAGGATGCAGAGGTTAATAATCGAGATGACGACGCTGCGGTTTGGATACAGCATCAAACGTTAAAGAAGGCTAGATTTGTGATGCCACCCAATGCCCCAATAACCTAAAGAGGAGATGCGTGTTTTTCATCGTGTTGCCGAGCCGTGACCTCGTTTGTTACGGACCTGGAACCGCATCTGGCAACTCAGCCATGTTTTTTTTATTTACACTACGTCGTATCTTATTTTTTTAAAACATACGTCAAACATGCATTACGTTGAGGATTACCAAAATTGTGGCGCACAGGGCTGTAGTGTCAACGGGACAGCCGTGTGAAAATTACTGCATTATGTTTCACCCTTTGTTCGTATGCCGAGGTGTACGATCCGGTTGACCTGGGACTATTCATATTCAAACCGACTCATTCCTGCCAGATTGTCAAACCTTTGGTTCTGTTAAGAAGCGTGTTCACACGGGTCGGGCAAGGGATTGTCATGTATCCATCCAAACACTTAAGTGATTATGACCGTCGTGGTGCGTCGACTGTGTCCGCGCCACGCTGACTCCGCCCTCCGCTTCCAGCGGCCGGCTGGTCCGCGCTCGCCAAGCTGAACCTGGTGCTGCTGGTGACGGCGCTGGCGCTGGGCGGCGGCGCCATGTACCTGCACTCGGGCGGCGATATGTCGCGCTCGGGCCTGGCCAGCAACTTGGGGGCTCTGGGCACGCTGACGCGCCAACAGGGCGGGCGCGCGCTCGACGCCGGCCTGCTGCTGCTCAAGCGCGCCTCGGAGCTGGGCACCGCCGCCGGCGACGTGCTGGTGACGCGTGCGCTCGACGTCTGGGAGTGGGGCGGCGGCCTGGCGGCGCGACTCGACCGGCTGTTGACCGACAGCTGCGGCGACTCGTGGAGCACCACCAAGGCGGCGGCCGGCGGCGCGTGGCGGGCGGCCGGCCAGTACGGCCGGCTGGCCGGCGAGCGGGCCCTGGCGCTGGGCGTGTACGCGGCGCGGAGCGGCTGGGAGGCGGCCGAGGCGGGCGGCAGCGCCGCGCTCGCCGCCGCCGGCCCCTACTGGGAAGCCGCCTGCGCACAGGGCACTGCCGTCAAGGCGGGGGCGCTGGAGGCGGCGGGCGCGCCTGCGGCAGGACGCCGGGCCCGCCCTGCTGGAGTGGGCGGCCGCGGCGCAGCGCGGCGTCGGCGTCGCCTGGGCGGCCGTGCAGCGCGAGGCGCCCGGCTACGCGGCCGCCGCCTGGAGGCTGGTCTGCAGCGCCACCTGCTCCGCCTGGGAGCTCAGCTGCGCCGGCTGGGAGCTGGTGCGCACCGAGGGCCCCGTGTACGCCGCCTTGGTGGCTGAACAGGTCAACAGACTGGTGGCGGCCGTCACCGGCAGCTAGGCCCAGTACAAAGACCCGCTGTCGGAGAGGGAGAGAGTGTCGCCCTCCATGCGGAGGGTGTCGCCATGTGATCGAGCCTGTGTGCACCGTTGGGGGCGTCTGGTGGGGTCTTCCGGCCGGCTCAGCCGGGGAAGTGGAAATTTTGTGCGACGCCTGTTCAAAAGTTCCAGCGATCTGAACTTTGGCGCGAACTGGGTTAAAGCATTTGATTTGGCTTGAGGAGAGGTGCTCTTTTGGCTGTTGTGTGTACGCTGCGAACGCACAGTCACGTAATTCCCGAAGTCATTTCGACTCAGATGAACGCGTTACGCGCACTTCACGCCCACGTGGTTTCCAACGCCCACTAAATCGCGTTGCAGGTGCTGCGGTATCGTCATGCATCCGGCGCCTTTCGGTGGCCATATCGTAACATGGGCATAATGTGGATGGCGGGTGTACTCGCATTTCGCGGTCGCGGGCAGAGGTGTTTTTTGTTGTGATATGATAACCATTCCGCGTGAAGTAGGTTGGGTTGCTCTGATTCGGCACAGGATGTGGAAATAAAACGGGAAAACCGATCAGCCGCTGCTCGCGGGATTGCTCGGACAGTGATCGGCCCTTGGTACGGAACGAACTCGAGCGACAGGTCGGGCGCCGCTGTATTTGCTCAATTTTAAACACAGCATACTCAGTTCGCTACAGCAGAGCAATTATGCATCACGCAATTAAGCCGGTCGCAAGACGCATTTCTGCGCTGAGGACTGGCAAGCCGTGGCGTCGCATTATCATCGATCGGACGGGCCGAGGCGGCGCAGGGCCAGCCATCACCGGCGGCTCCGCTCCCGCCGGTTACAGCTTGGGGTAGACGATGTGGAGGTTGAGCAGCGAGTCGATGTTGGTGTCGGTCGGGTCGAAGCCGATCATGTCGAACACGTTGTAGCCGGCCTTGTACAGCAGCGCCAGCGGCACGTTCTGCCCGCCGGCCTTCCCGTTCGTGCGCAGCGCTTTGAAGAAGGTCACCATTCGCGGCAGCAGATCCTGCTGATCCTGCTGCCGCCCCGGCGTCTCGCTGCCGAGCTCGGCCGCTAGCGAGTGCAGCTTCTGCAGCACGCTCTTCATCATGACCACCTGGGCGCGCACGCGCTGCAGGCCCCGCTTCAGCTGGGCGCCCTGCTCGGCCTGCTGCCGCGAGACGTCGGCCATGAGCTGGTGCACGCCTCTGGGCGTCCGCCACCGGCTCGGCCGCCGCCTCGAGCAAGGCGGTGCGCTGCTCCAGCTCGCTCAGCGATGTGGAGAGTGTGTCGATGCCGGCCAGCACGCTCGCCACCGTCACGTTCCCAGCCCCTGACGTGGCCCCGCTCGTCGACTCCGCCTGGACGCCAGCGTTCGCAGGCGCCGCCCCCGCTGATGCTGGAACGTCAGGTGAGGTGTGAGCGCGTGGGGTGAGGTGGCCGGGGACCGGCTGGAGCCGTGTTCTGCGGGGTTCGTCAGGCACGCGGGTCACGCGGCTCGGTCTGAGAGCCCGTGCTCCGGTACAGCTCCTGCGCTGGCGCGCCCCACCGCTGGCTCGTCGGCTAGGCCGCACCATGCTGACCAAAACGTGGAAATGGGACCGTTTTGTGATGTGGTGAAAGCAAGGTTCGTATGGAAAACGCGATCGGGGCTTACTCGCTTTTGTTAAAGAAAGCAAGCCACTTGGAAACAACAAAAACTGCCTGGTAATTCCATAGCGCTGCTATCGGGGCCCACCTGTATCATCAGGGTTACTCAATGGGATGCGCTGGCACCTCTCGCAGCTTAGCTTTTACCTAAGCGGCCTTCTTAGAAACAATTGCAGGGTGCGATGTAACAGTAAGTGCAGGAAGTAAATTAGACCGCCCTTAATGTAAGGAAGAAGCACCATTTGAAGTGCGTGAGGCTTAAACGCGCACCTCGTTTTTTCAGCACCATTCTTTCCTGATGGGGCTGAAAAACTCTGTCCTGAGATTCCCTGCAGCGCGGCCTAACCTCACCTCGCGTCACCCTCTCGGCGACTCCTTCCGGCTTAGCGATCGCCGCCGCCACACATACACCTAGGGCGAGCAGCCTGATCATGGCTGGGGTGAGAGGTCCGGACCGTTCTCTCAGTCGGGAGTGGAGCAGACCACTGAAACGCTGCCGGCGGGCTCCGCACTGCTCTCAGTCAGTCTCGCTCCCGTTTTATACGACCCGGGGTACGACTGTGTTTTGGCCTGGCGCTAGGGGCTGAATGCTGCATTGTGTATGCGCGGACAAAGAGGCCGGCTTTCGGCGTGTCCAAAGGCCGCGGACCATTGCCCCTTATTTGCAGCGGAAACGCCCAGACGTTCGGTGGCGGTGCAGGTCAGGGAAGGCTACCCATGTGGTATCCGACGGCATTCTCAGTTGCGAATCTCTTACTACGACTTTGTGATGCTTGGACCCCGATACTCTTGGACTGTTAAACCCGAAAAGCACATGGAAAACATCACAGGTGTGTCGCAGGCCACCCTTTGTGGCGCATTGCAATATTCTGTGGACTGTTGACGTGCTGTTGAATAACAGACGGCGGACGCGATTAATGGACATTAACCAGGTCAACGGCATGACCAAGAAAGGGAGAGCGAAAAGGCGTTTGCTCTCGTGTGAGGACTTGGAAGTTGAATGACCCGCTTTAGATGTCCAAAGACGCCCTAATTTGTTTCATAGATTCTCTTCTTGAGGAATGCAATTAGCAGTGATAAATGAGCCTTCTGCAAGGCCTACCAGACATGTCTAGAGCCCTAGGAGCCCCAGGTCGGACTGGATCCAGCTATCTAGCAGGACCAGCCAAGCGGTCCTTGCTGGGCTGAGATGGGGCTGTGGAGAGTGTTGTTGACGTGGTTCTTAAGCGTGCACGAATGCTGACACAGAATGTGTTGACCTAGGCACGAACATTATGCACCGCGTATGAGCTATGTTTTTGTTGCCAAGGGTGTTTCGGAAGGCGTCATGACCGCTCGGCAGTACCAGTATAAATGGCGTGCACCAACCGATTTTGTAACAGGGTCTGAGAATTCGCGGTAAGTCTCAAAATCCTGGGTGTCGGGCGACATCCTCTGAATGGAGCCTTCCGTACAGCCGTCGCCAGGTGGACAATGTCCCCGCAAGTTGACGACATCGCTGAAACGGACCCGAGCCCCTTACTTGCCTGAGCGCTTGCTTGTGATCAGTAGGCTTGCAGTGTTTACCACGCATCGCGTGCCAGCGCCATCGACCGACAAAAACAGATGTCCGATGGTGGTTCGGGGGACGCCCTAGTCAGATCTAATTATTGGTGTAAGGCTTACAATCCGTTGCAAACATGGGTGCTGCCTAATGTGTCTGCGCCGGAGAGCGACCATGACTTAGGGACGTTTGTGTGTGTGTCATAACGCCCACGGGCAGGGTCACGCGCTAAGTGTGGACAATAATTACAAACGGACACTGGAGAAGGACTGCGAGTAGCCTCAGTTCGCTCAGCCCCATTGGCAGAGCTGCCCGAGGCACGTGACATCTTGCCGACCTCAGGGGTCAGTTCAACCGGCTGACCCGGAACGTGTTCAGTTCATTGAGCCGCGTCTGGTTGGCAACGGGGTCGAGTCACAATGGCATTGGCTGCGGCAGCGACCGCGTGTCTTCTTTCGGGTCAGGTTTTTGCGATGCAAGGTCGAATTGGTGAAGCTGAACGTGTGTTCGTGTCACACCCTCTCACACAGGTCCCTACAATCTGCCGTATGGTCCCCCTTGGCCTGAAGTGATGGCCCTATCATGACGGATCCCGTGACCTGCTATAGGTGTGTTTAGGCCCCGGCTCTGCCCTGGATCCTAACGTCTGGAACCTGTCGCTGAGCGTGGCGATCTTGCGTGGTGCTACTTTAGAATGATGTCGGCTAGATACACATATGATAGCAATCATTCTCGAAGAAATGCCTGGTACCCTCGTGTCTTAGCAAAAGCAACGATTGCAATGTCTCAAAAGAGTATACAACGCTTCTGACGGTCCCATTTCCCGACCTTATGGGATTGGTCACCACCAGACCTTCAACATTCAAAGCGACATGGTCGATAACCTGCCCTTTCCAGAACATGGTGACCTTGAGTCAGGTCCCAGGTCACAAAAAGCGCGAAGCTACCAAAATTGATTTCAGTTTGTCCCCGACTGATCTTTGACCTCACCCGAGGTCATCATGTTCTGGAGATAATATGTCATCGGCCATCATGCATCGAATCGTAAAGGTTTGGTGGCTGTCGGCTCCGTTGGCTCGGAGCATGGAATCGTGAAGGTTTGGTGGCTGTCGGCTCCGTTGGCTCGGAGCATGGAATCGTAAAGGTTCGGGGTTTGTCGGCTCCGTTGGCTCGGAGCATGGAATCGTAAAGGTTTGGTGGCTGTCGGCTCCGTTGGCTCGGAGCATGGAATCGTCTGCCTACCAGCTGTGGTGACCAGGTGTTTTGGTGACCTTCGGCATGAGCTGTGGTAGTCATATTCGCGTCACACAAACTGCGTCGCGTCGCATGAACTGTGGTACTTAACTGGTCGAGTAAACCCATGGCCACCCATATGACATAGGTAACAAGCTGGGCTGGGTTGTGAATTTAGGGAAGTGCGGGTACGGGTATTCGCATTGTCGGTGTGGGTAAGATTTTACCAATTGTTGGGTACATGTTTCAGAAAACGCTGCACGGTTTGTGGTGCTTTCAGTCATAATCATCTCATCTCATACCACTTTTGTGATGTGAACAGGAACACTCGCACCATGGGGTGCGAGCGTTCCTGAAATTTCCCCTTAGTTAGAAGTTAAGTGTTGAAAGACATGCAAACGGGTGGGTGCGACTAATTAGAAATGAGTAGCGGGTTGTTATTGGCGCACCCATGGATGGTGGGAGGATCTGGCCGAGAATATATTTCCCGTGAAGGCCTCGATTATCGATCATGATGCATTGAATGATGAAGCCATACTGACGATTGGCCCCACAGGCTTTAGGTATGACATCGTAAGCACGAG